TGTGGAGCTCTGTTACATTTTGCATTGTCTTCAGATATATTTCAGATCCTTCCCTTTTTATTTCAGAAAGTCTCACCTCCAGTCTATTATGGCGTGAAGGCGCTATTTATCAGAGGAAGAATACACTCGTATGGTTAATGAACTATTTACTAACAAAGATGAGAGTGATGATTCATTTTCTAAAGAGTTCGAAAGTGATACTTCTTCTAAGAGATAGAAAGTGATACTTCTCTCCATGTTTCAAGATTTACCACACTCGGTCTTCATTTTAAATTTTGTTACTTCTTACTGTAAATAGTCTTTTATTGTGTTGTTTTTATTAATTTTAAACTTTATTGACAAATTTTATAAATTAAAACTTTGGAATAATTTGAATAGTGCTTCCAAAAATTATTTTACAAGACTATCAATTTTTTAAATATATTTTCATGTAAAATAAAGAAAAAAAAGGTTATTAAATGCTGATTTTAACATATATAAGAGCTCAAGTAATAATCTAAACTGGTACCAAAAATTACGATGCTAGTAGTGAAATGTTTTTTCCTGAGTTTTTAAATAAAATTATTAGCCTTAGTGATGCAAAAACCCATCCTGTGCGATGACTGCGCTTGATTTCCTTCCGTCCCGCACCAGTGTCTTAAACAAAGGTGCGCCGTCATGAAAGGATTAATGATAACTGCATTGTGGGCACCATGTGGGGCCTAAAGGCAGAGGCGTAGCTAGGGTTTTCAGCGCCCGGGTACAACTGAAGATGTTGCGCCCCTTTCTCTGTTCCAAGAACGGAAAACATTTCATTCTAAAATTTAATAACATCAATTTGGCGCCCCCTGAATGCTGCGCCTGGGGACAGATGTCCCCCCTTGCCCCACCCTAGCTACGCCACTGCCTAAAGGTAAGCCCTAAGATGAAACCCATCATGGTTCCGCCTATTGTCAAATCTTTTGCTGAAAATCCTTAAATGCAATACAGATGCAAATTTTTCCGGATGGGTTAATTGTGACTTCTTGAAAATTTTCCTTGATGAAAAAAAGGACTATGGAATTATTTCTAAATAAACTGAGTTAAAGTTAAGTTGATAAGCATGTTGATCATTATTTTACCTGACAAAAATCTGAACATCCTTTTGACTGAAGTGGTATTTAGGGGCTGCCTCCTGATATGAAATAGAGGAGGAACTTATAAACTTAGGCAAATAAAGTGGCACAGATGTTTAGGTTGAAAGAAAAAACTCTATGCTGTTATACCAACTTCAATAAAATGTCACCCCCAGCATTGAACACATGAAATTACCAAGATTTTATATTTCAATATTCTGTAGTTCTATATAAAGTTAAAGGTGGTGTGATTCAGTACCTCATTTGCTAATGCTTTAACCAGTCTTCTGAAGGATGCACGTTAAAGCCTACATGTGTGAAATGGGCTGGACAGCATGAAACCAAACATTATACAGCCCCCCAAAAAAGAAGAAGATTAGAAATGGTTAGGTATTGCAACTGTTGTTTGTTGTTTAACTGGATACATTGCAAACTTTTATGGATGTGCTAAATTTCCTAAGTACCATATGCATAATATTGATTCTAAGACAAAGGATAACTTTATTAAAGTTAGCAATTCAAATGTAAATATGCAGAACACTGGAATCTCCTAAGTAGTTGCTGTTAAGAAGACATGCATTTCTAGGAACACTCATAATGAAAATTCATCTCATCCTGGAATACCAGGTCTTGGTGTCATGTTTAATGTTGTAAACGTGTATTTGATGTCTTTAAAGAAATTAGCCAAATATTTAAAGGCATATCCATACAAAACATTGTGAAAAAAATAACAGATCAGATTCCCCAAATTACAAGCTACATATAACTCAGTGGACAAATTATTTTTTATTTCATTCTTATTATTAGGTTCAGCACATTTCATAATAAATTTTAATATACCACTTTTATTTAAAATATTCTCTTGTGTTGTATTTGGTCCCCTTGTTTTGTATTATTTCTATTGGCATTAATTGTTTGTATGTTACCGCACTTTTCTATTATCAGCTCTACTGCTTCAGTACTTACTTTGTGGTAGTAACTTTATTTTCAACTAGTGCGACTCTGCAAGAACTAGTTGTTAGGGATGTTCCTTAAATAACGAAGACTTGGACTAATGCTTGAAGGTTGCACTATTTTCATGTTTGTTGTATTTGATCTTTATTAGGAACTTCTTTGAGATAATACACAAATAAATTCAAAACTTATAACTATTTTTACAAGAGGTAAGGCCTTGTGCCTAGGAACCCTGGTGCTCAAGTGCCATTTCACTTGGGTCAGGAGTATGCATGTATTGATAAAAAAGTAATTTCAGCATGATAATCAGGGATAGATATTATTACATATTGCTTAATAGTAGTAAAGATAATAAAGGAATTTAACTTGGAGCTGGTAACTTTCCAAGATACTGGCTGAAAAATTTTGCAAATGAATGTTAGGACTTAATATTTTTTCATTCTGATCCTGACAGTGATAATCTGCAACAGTAATTTTTCCTGTAAATTAAATTTGATTTTAAAATTGTTTATTAGTTATGCTTGTTAACTTGTGCAGCAATTTCTTAATGAATTTTCAAGCCATATTTCATAAAAATGATATATATATATATATATATCATCATCATTTATTGTTTGTTAAAAAAAGTACATATATATTATCTCATTGACCATCAAACTGTTGCAGATAATTTAGTGCTAGTTATCGATAAGCATGACTTAACAGTATACTCATGCCATGCTTGCTTTCATTTGATGTAATTTGACAGATTTTCTATCAGCTACCTTTTATTTTTGTGAACAAACAATAAATTATTTGTTATTGGCATATATTTTCCTTAAATTTTTGGGGGAAAAATTAAAATTTATGATATGACTTCTACAAAATGGCAAGCTGTGGGTTATTTTCAAAGTTATGGGATCCTGTTATCAAAATGTGTGTGTTATTTGACAAAATATGGGCAGCTGAATATGGCTGATAAAACAGGAGTAGGTAGGACCTGTGGGAAGTTTGTACTCATAGCATTCTAAAGAGAATTTCTGGTAAAATTGGAGGACTTAACAAAACAATAAAAGTTTAAAAAAAACCTCTTAACAAAGTACAGAAATGAAGCAGATCAAATACTGACTGATCATTAAATAAAGAGGCACTAGTTCCTTTAGAATTCCATAGGAATGATAGGCACAGCTTCGAACTGATCTCCACAATTTTCATAGTCCAATGGTAGTCAGTTTTCACTGTTAATGGGATAGTATGCAAGAACCAAAGGAAATTTTTGTTTGCCTTATGAGAATATTTACTTCACTGCTGCCATTCAAATGAAGCATTATGTTTTGACCAGTAAGGGATTGAAGTTCTGTAATGGGATATTTAAGTCAACATATTTTGTTGATAGAAAATATTTCATCCACCCTGCTAAGATTTTTAGCATTATGTAATTATAATGCTAAAATTGGTACTTTTCTGATTGGTACTTGGTACTTACTGATTATCTGCATGCCTACAGTAGGCAGTTTGTTGAATACTTTTGTGAATTGGCAAAAAACATTTGTTTGGTTATCTTTATGGCTGTTCATAAATAATAATAAAGGAGCATTATGTTCTAAACAAGTAAAAATTTTCTCATCTCAAACAAAAGTGGATTGGCTGTTGTCACATGTGCTAAAACATAACATATCTAACAAATGTGTAAACTAGAGATTCAGGTAATTAGAAAGTACCAAAAATGTTTTATGTATTCAATTTGAATATGCATTTGCTGAATATATGAGTTATATGAATTTACTGGAATATATGAATTTAGGAGTGCTACCATGATAAGAAAATGTATTTGCATTAAGTTGTCCATATTATCAGCCAAAAAAGGTTATTGTATTTTAAACATAATTTTGCACTATTTCACTTTTCATTTAAGCCTATTGTCATTTGGCAAAATGTAAAATATTTATCTTTCACATTTGTTTAATTTATTAGTAATTAGCAAGCTAAACTGTTTAAAAGCTGTAGATGCAGTTTATAAGAATATTATTATAATTATTATTTTAATTTTAATCTGATTGATTTAAATAAAATTAATTGCATTCAATTCATGAGTTTAAATATTTTTAGAGCAGTGCATTATATATTTTTCACTTTTCAAATACACAGAAGGTATATAATGTTCCCACATTATTCTAAATGTGTATTCATCTTAGTATCTTATAAAATGTTTTGCAATCCCACCTGGGCCATCTCTATTGGTAATCTGTACTGAAACAAGTTAAACTTTAAAAGAGCCCTTTGGGTGACCATTAAAATCTGAAACCTTTCAGATTTTTTTTATTTTATTTTGAAATAGAAAAGGGAAAAATTAATTAAATAAGAAAGTATGTATACTTCTCAAATATGCTGAAATAAATTTCCCTTCCCTCCTTCTATATTCTTTATGTGCCAGGAAATAAAACAGTGCGAGTAGAATTCGATAGAAAAAAAAATCTGCATAGTAAGGAGAGAAAACATTTTATTAAGTGAAAGGAATGGAAAAAAGTGGGTAAAATAAATATCTTTGATTGAGGTAGATAATATTTTTTTGTATATCCAGAGAATATTTAAATTCTTAGAAAATAAAAATTTCGTTTTAGTAAATTTTTATACTTTAATATCATTTCTTCTTGTGAACGATTGCAGTTCATATGAAATAAGATGATATTTTTCAATTATTGTCAATAATATTTTTGAATTTTTCATTTTTATAGTAATATGCATTGTGATAACATGATGTTATTTATTAAAAAATCTTTCATACCATTTTCATGTTTTTTATGCATAAGATAAAATGTTATTCACTGTTGACTGTTTTATAGCTGTACTTGCCTTTCAGGTTACAGGAAAAGTAAATGAAATTTTTTTTTGTGTTAATTTTAAAAGATATTCTGTTAGTCATCACTCATCTGAAAAACACATTGGGTGTCCTTTTTTTTTTTTTCTTTTCAGGGTGTCAGGTCTAGAAAATACTCTATTTGGTTATACACCTCGATCACATATAGTAATCCCTAAGCGGCTGCATGACAATAAAGACGCTGTTGAAGTTATGTGCTTTGGTAAGTTTATGAACAGAATGTCTGAAATATTTAATCTGCATGATAATTTCTTTTTGTGTTCAGTACATTTAGATGAAACCAATAAATTACACATTTTGATCAATGCTTCAAAACATGTAGGCATTGCTTCTATGTTGCGAATTTGCCTATATGACTGGTCTGTCAGCATGTAAAACAGTATGCAGTTTTGAAAGACTCTGTGTCCAAAGGGAAGGCTGCATAAAATGAATCACCATAACCAGAGCTAGTTTCATGGGATCCTAAACCTACACTCTCAGCAGCACTAAATATATGTGTGGTAACGATTAAAACCTATTTTTAGTTATAAATTAATTTTAAAGTTCATATGTCATACCTGTCAACTTTCTCGATCTCCCAGTAGGTCACTGAATTTCCCAGTTTTTAATTTTTGTTAAGGAAGCTACTGAAGGATTACTGTATTAAGGAAGCTGCTACCTTTATTATGGAAAGCTACTGAAAAAAATGTTTTCCAACAATAAATTAAATTTATTAAAGTAATGCAATTTAAATTGTATAATTTAAAGTAAATTTCATAATAATTTTTCCTATTGAATTTTATATCATCTGATTTGTATTGTTTTCCCCTTACCACATTTTATGATCCTTTTCTTGTTAAATATTATTTATATTTAATTTTTCTTATTAGAATTTTATTTGATCTGAATTGTCATAATCCACAGTAGACAGTTGTAGAACTTTGTATGAAAAACTTAACATTTGCATTTAATTTTCGTTTATTTCAATATATGGTACATTATAAAGTTTATGCACACAAATACTGTGTACATTGTTTATTAATTTTATTGTCATCATTTAAAAAATATTTTGATAAATAAAAGCTTTCCTCTCCTACTCAGTATTTTCTCTATAAAAGTGTAAGAAGATTTCAAATAATTCAGTAACCTGAATTATTCATTATAAAGGGAAATTAGTATTACTATGAAATTGGTATTAGTATTTAGAAGTATTAGTAAATTAGTATTAGAAAGTACATTTGGAGTTACATTGAAATGATATCGCTGCCCAGTGCTAAAACCAGTGTTTCTCCTGATTTTCGCACAAAAAATTACTTGGTTCTTTCAGACTTCGAGATTGGTAACTATGTTATATTGTGGGGACTAAGAACTTTAGAATAATGCAAAGGCATTATTTGGAATTATATTTCACCATGTAGAAATTGGATAGCTGAATATTGGTTTGAAGCATAATAGATTAGTATGATTTATGCAAATATACTATGCAAACTCAAATTTAATTAAACAAGCATCAAGTCCTGGAGCTCCCTCCTTCCTCTGATAATTTGTATTACTCATTCCATTTCCAGTATTAAAATCTTTTAACTGTGACTTGCTGTGAATTTGCTATTTCTATTCATTATGGAAATATCCATGATAACAGAAATTTGCTATTATCTTGGATATTTCCTTTACAGTATAAAATTTTCCATATTTACATAATATGATCTGTGAGAATGATTTGATGACATTTTAAAATAGTAATTGATTAATATACACATTCTGATCCTAAATAGTTGAATTTTTTAGAAATGTTTTAGATCATTCAACAGCACTGTGTTGTCTACTGTTAAGCCTACTGATAACAGGCAAAGGAAGGAGAAATTCAATTGATAAAATAGCATTTATGCTATATCTATTGAGATTTTCATGTGTTATTATATTTCTGAATGAAAGTTTTAACATCTTATTTTAATATGCAAAAAAATTTATTCATTTTATTAAAAATAAACCTGCGTGTGATTTTCTTACAAGTCAAAAGAATGCATAGAATAAGATAATGCAGTGAAGCAAAAAATGTTATTTTTTATTTATTTATTTTTATATAACTTTAACTTCCGTATGTTGAATGGTTCTAGACTTGAAAATCAAATGTGGTTTTTTTCAAGAAAATTTTTTTCAAAGAAATCTTTTATCTTTTTACCTTGTATACCTCTCAATTTTTTTTTTTTTGTGTGTATTTTCATTATACAGGACATCAAATTTTAATAATTATTTTTATAACTGATAATAGTTCAACATGTAATTTTTGTATTAATTCATCATTAAAGTGGTTAGTTTTGTTTGTAGGTTCATTTATTTCAATCACATTTGTTAACTTTGCTCATTTTTATGTAATATGTTGATTCATTTTAATGACCATGTGATTTGTTTCAGTTAATTTTATGATTGGCTGTCAGTTATTTTATACTGAATTCAAATTTATATTGAAGTTAATAAAAAATATGGCAGGAATCTTTCTTCCTGAACAAGCTCACTAGTGGCCAAGTAGACAATGAACATTGGTAGTTCAGGATTACTGGAATTTGAACAGCCTAAATTTGAATCCCAGTGAATGAACTAGCTGCTTAGGTATTTCTTCCTAGAGTAATGTGAATATAAGCCTTTTTCCCTTTGAAAGTCCTCCATGAAAGTATTTTTCCCTTTGGCAGATAACCCTGATGGCATTGCCATAACTGATTAAACATTCTTCTTTGAGAGTGAAATGGCCAGTGTTCAGAACGTCTGAAAATCGTCACAAGTCTTCTTTAAACACCAGAAATGAAATTTATTCAAATTGGTATAATATTCTAAGTTTTGCAACTTTTTTTCGTTTCAGTTAAATAAAACGTATTTGTAATATTTCATAGAAATATGATTATTTAGGCCATAGAAAGATATTTCATGCTATTAAGCTTAACATATGGTATATAAATAGACCATTTCAGTTTTACATAGCTAATAAGAATTTGTTTCTTCTCTTAAGGCAATATTCAAACAAATACCACATGGTAAATATACACATTACAGACCATTTATTTATTCCTCATTTACTTAGATATGTGATTTAGTTTGTATAAAGTGATAATTGTTGCATCATGTTTTGCTAATAGGTAATTTTCCATTTACTATATTCTCCGTAGTTTTGAAGAGTTTTCAGTGCATCGCTTCCAAACTTTAAAATCATGGGAAATTATTGGGAGTACAAATAAGTCTCCGCTGTTCGGCAAAAATGGCTTCACTAGTAAGCTATGATTAAAGCTGATGTAAAACATCATATCATTAGGTTGAACATCTGCTAACAACATAATCTTGAAATATTAGCTATTTTGTATCAGGATCACATACTTTTTTTTTGCACAAAACTGTCTAGTTTTGAGCCAAATGAGTGTCATTTGCAGGAATTATTGATTTACTTCTTTAATTTGAAGAAATCTGGAGCTGAGGTGCATCAGTTGTTTGTAGAAGCATATGGTGAGGCTGCCTTAAGTGAGAGAACTTGCTGTGAGTGGTTTCAAAATTTTAATAATAGTGAATTTGACGTGAAATATGAGGAGCATAGTGTAAAAGTGTATTAAGACGTGGAATTACAGGGTTTGTACTGTCCTTAAAAGTCCTTAGATTTTTTGGAATCGATTTTTGGTCCTTAAAAGTCCTTAATTTTGGCGAAAATCAACAGAAGGTCCTTAATTTTAATCATCTGAAATTTCTGTCTCTTTTTTCAATTGCCATTTTGAGTGTGAATTAGCATTTTGGAGAAATATTTTCGGCGATTCACTGGCATATATGGTTATCTTTTGAATGGGTTTATGGGTTATAATTTGTTTCTAATATAATTGATGGGATATTCGAGTTTCTAAGCAAGAAGTGAGATATAAGCATTTCGAAATTCATTTTTTCTAATAAAGAGTTTTTAAACAACTTTTCGCTTTTGGAGATGTGAATGGTTCTAAATTTGGCGACTTATCAACATTTTGGCTATTTTAAGATTAGTTTCTATAGAAAATTTTTAATTCCGAGATCTGTGAATTAGAAGCATTATTGAATGAAGATTCATGCCAAATGCAAATATAATGACAAAATGACATCAAAAAGTCTAGTTCAATCTTTAAATATTTCAACCACATGGCTTTCAATTAAAGTGAGTAAAAGTCATACAAAATTATTAAAATTTAAGAAAATGTAAAAGAAACAAAATGATAAAAATACTGTGTTGAAAGAGCACCTACACCTATAGGTGCTCTAATATAGAGGAGCAATCATTCTCTGCATTGTTATGCCAAATTTTTAAATTCTGAAAGTTTATTTTTAAATATAAAAAGTTTATTTTTAAATATAAAATAAATTCAAATTCAGGAAAAAGGCAAATAAAAAGGAATGTACCTTTTTTATCTTTCTGTTACCTGCTCCTTTATTAGCCTAAATTACGCATTAATTTTTAGAAGTAAAATAAAGTACTAAAATATTAATAGAGTTTAATAAAATAATTGCAATAAAATAATAATAAATATAATAACTAAAGCATAATAATTGCAATAAAATAATAATAAATATTATAATTAAAGTATAATAAAATAATAATTTCTGATAAAGTTGCTAAATAGTTGCATATTAAGTAAAAGATCTTTACTGAGACTAATTCATTCAAGTAGTTTATTTTGTTTTATTTACATACTAGCTGTTACCCAGCATGCGTTGCAATGCTGCATAAAGGAAAGAAAGTGTTTGTGTTCTGTTTATTGAATTGCTTTTGGATACATAATATGTTTTGTTTTTTTTTTTCATCTAATTCATACATGAATAAATCAGAAGGTTTTATGACATGTGAGCATCATACATGCGTGATTTATCCATTTTTCCAATGACCACACTTGGATGAAGACTGTAATCATAATTAGTATCATAATGGAATGCACAAAGATTTAAATCAGCATGCAGTGTTCGTCTGGATTGAGCAGTGTGTACTCAAATGTTTTCCAGTCTTACTTCCTGTTTATCTGTTTCAGATGTTTCTCATCAAATGTTTCTCAGTCTTGTTTCCTGTTGCTCCTTTCTTTCAAATGAATGGATTTGAGGAGTGCATACTTGAACATTTTTCCATCATGCTTCCCGTTGCTCATTTGTTTCTGAAGCTCATGATGCATTTTTCTTTCATGTTTGAGGTGTAGATCGAGCAGTCAATTTTCATTTTGGTGGCATAATTGA